GTCTTGGCCCCGCTAAGCGCCAGGGGCCCCAGGAGCAAGAGGGGAGCGAGGGAGGAGAGGAGGAGGAGGAGGAGGAGGAGGATGAAGAGCAGGGGGAGGAGGAGGAGGAGGAGGAGGAGGAGGAGCAGGGGGAGGAAAAGGAGGAAGGGGAAGGGGAGGAGGGGGAGGAGGAGGAGGACGAGGAGGAGGAGGAGGAGTTTGACGACTTTTGCTGTCTGTTGCTGCTCTGTGTGCCTCCTGGACGCAGCTTGAAACATAACATCCTCCAAGCAGCGCTTGCACTTAAGGGTCTTCCTCCTCCTCCTCCTCCTCCTCCTCCTCCTTCCTCCTCCTCCTCCTTCATTCGCCCTCCAGCCTCCCCCCTCCTCCCTCCTGCCCCCCCCTCCTCCTCCCCCCTCCTTGCTGCCCCCCTCCTGCATTTAGGGGTCTTACTTGTATGTTAAGGAACTGGGCCAGCGGGCCGCTCTGGCCGCCATGTGGCCGCCGTCGCCGCCTCGTCGCCGCCCGCTGTGCAACCCTGCGCATTGCTGCGTATTGCTCTGAATGACTTTGCATTGCTTGGCATTGCATTGCTTTGCTTTGCATTGCTGTGCATTGCTCTGCATTGCTTTGCTTTACGTTGCATTGCTTTGCGCCATTGCATTGCAATGTCAATCGCATTGCAATGCACTGGTTTACACTGGTGTGCATTGCATTGCATTGCATTGCTATGCCGTGTTTTCCATTGCTATGCGTTGATTTCAGTGTTTTGGATTGTTTGGCGTTGGTTTGCATTGCGTTGCATCGCTGTGCAGTGCTATGCACTGCTTTGTTTTGCGTTGCCTTTAGTTGCATTGCGTTGCGCTACGTTGCGTTTTGTTGCGCTGGCTTGCATTAGTTCGCAATTCATTGCATTGTTGCGCGCTGTGTTCGTTGCGTTGCCTGGATTTCTTCACACGGAGTTGCATTGTGTTGCCTTACATTGTGTTGCGTTCCAGTGTTTGGCATTGTTCGGCATTGCGTTGCAGTGCGTATCATTGATTTGCGTTGCATGGCATTGCTCGGTATTGTTGGGCATCGTTTTGCATAGCATAGCACCTCAATGTCTACATCACCTAGCTCACACCACATAGAGTGCACTGCATATTTTGCGCCACTACAGCTCGCACCACGTTGACTGCACTGTATAGACTGCACCACTCAGATTGCATATCATAGTTTACACCACATAGATCGCCCCACATAGGTTGCACCACATAGCTCACACCCCATAGATCGCACCACATGACTGACACCACGTAGCTCACACCGCATATATGAGTACGTTAGCTCCCACCACATATATTGCACCACCCACTTCACACCACATAGCTCACACCACAGATCTAGCACAATAGCATGCACCACATAGCTTTCAACACATAGCTTGCACCACATATATTGCCTTACCTGGTATAACACACGGTTTGGGATCCACGCTGGCTAGCATTTGTCAGGATGTTGTTTGGGAAGGGTCTGGCGACCGATTCCGAGCAGTAGAAACACGGAGGGATTTGGGTAAACATATGGCATGTTTGGTCGTTGATTGTTGGCGCACGTGTGCGACTACTCGAAGGCTCGCGCTCAATCACTCTCGTCTCGTCGCCCTTCCTCCCCATGGACTCTGGAAACCAAATGATCGTTGGGCATGCAAAGTATTCCCTAAAAACCGTAGCCAGGCTGTCGATAAGAAGGCTACTCGAGGTCGTTGGGGGTCTGGAAGCCTCATGGGTCGTTGGGACATGTTGAAGACATCTTGGCGGTCTCTTGCGGCACCTCGGGTGTTTCTTGGGGGTCACTTGGGGCCCCACTGGCGTTTTCGGGGCCCGGCATGTCAGTTCGGTCCCCCCTCTTGAGGGCTTCGGGGGCCCTCTTGGGAGCCTCGGTGGCTTCTTGGGCCGTTGTGGACGCTCTTAAGACCGAGAAGCCGAGTGTTAATAACAAGAAATGCATGCACGCACGCACACACGCTTCGCATAATCCAATCAGCCCATTTCGAAACGATGCCCAGGCGAGGTGCACTGAGCAGGGATGCGGAATAGCATGCAGTGGAATATAGGAGGAGTAGGGAAGCCGTCATACCCCAAGCGGGGGAGGTGGAGGAGGAGTAGGCGGAGGAGGAGGAGGAGGGGGAGGGAAATGGGGGAGGAGGAGGGAGAGAGGAAGAGGAGGAGGAGGAGGAGGAGGAGGAGGAGGAGGAGGAGGTCGAGGAGGAATAGGCGGACGAGGAAGAGGATGCTGATGAGGAGGGGAGGGCGAGCAGAAAGGCCAGAGGCCCCTTGGGTGCCTCTCGGAGTCTTTTCAGGTGTATCTTGGAGTGTCTTGGAGTCCTCTTGGGGTCATCTTGGGGCGTCTTGGGAGCCTCTTGGCTGTGCCGGGGGCCTCTTGGAGCGCCTTGGGGGCCTCGGGGGAGATTCCTGGGGCCTTTGGGGTCTCCTGGGAGCCTCCTCGGGTTCTCTTGGAGGTTTCTTGAGGCCTCCTGGGCGCCTCGTGGGACCTTCTTGGGGCTCTCTCGGGAGCCTTAGGGACCATCTTGGGGCCATCTTGGATGAGCTCAGCTCGATCAAAGAAGGGGGGGACCTTCATTAGTCCCCCCCCAGGAGGCCAGTATTGCCCAAAAATCTGTATAGAAACATCCGTGATTTGTGCTTTCTCGATGCGGCCTTCTTGGACGTGACTCCTTGCGAACCCTCCCCTCTAGTCCCAGGGGAGGGGAGAGGGGGAGGGGTCAAGACACCCTCCTAGATAGCAAGCCGTCTAGCTCACTCCCACCCGCCCTCCCTGCACAAAAGTAACACCCGAGCCTCAGCAGCATGTTCAGCGGTCGTCGTTGGATGGGCAGCTACTGGAAACCAAAACCGACCCCATGTGCGCGACGTTGGGACGAGGTGCGCCACGCGTGCCAGGCGCGCCACGCGAGCCAGGCACCCTTGGGGCCCGAGCGTGCCAGGCACGCCTGGTGCTCCAGATGCGCCACATGCTCCACGTGCGCCATGTGTGCCGCATACTCCATTCGGGCCAGGTGCGCCACGTTCGGGGCACGTGCAGTGTGGGGCGGTGCCCCGTTGGAAGACATCCGTCTGGAAACCTGGAACTGTGCCAGAAGACCGTTCTTGGGAGTTCAGCGCCGCGAAACACCGATGCCGTTGCGTCTTGACGATCCTGAACCGTGCCAGGACACCGTTCGCGGGATTTCAACACTACGAATCAACGTGGCTGCTGCGACTTGACACTCCAACACTGTGCCGAATTACCATTTCTGGAACGTTAACCATGAGAATCCTTCAAACAACTGCAAACTCTAAGGACGAAATATGCGCGGCGCTGAGGCGAGAGCCACATGTTGAAAACGGACCGCCCTCCATCCGTCAAAATTGTGCAAACGTTTTAAGACGAATGTACGCGGCGTTGCAGCGAGAGCCACATTGTGAAAACTGACCGCCGTCCATCCGCGCAACGCTTTCAATTTTGTCAAACGAATGCGCGGCGCTAAGAACAGAGCCACATTTTGAAAATGGGTCGCCCTCCATCCGCGAATCGCTAGTCATCTGTATTAACGAATGTGGGCGGCGTTGGGGCGAGAGCCATGAAGAACAAGGACGGAGGAGGAGGAGGAGGTGGGGGAGGAGTGGGATGGGGAGGGAGAGGGGGAGGGGGGGGGGTCAGCGGAGGGAGGAAAACGAGCTGAGGAAATCGGAAACAGACGGCACACGTTCGTGAAACAAAGGGGGCGATACGGGTGACCCCATATTTTTCGCGGTGGCCCCTGAAGATTCTGGAGGCAATGGGCGGGGCGGATTAGGAGTGGGCGAGGCGGGAGGAGGGGGGCGGGGGGGGTGGGCGGGCCGATCGTTTTACACCCAGAGCGGCAATGTACAATTGAAATGGGGCACTTCACAAAGGAAGGCCACTTCACAACCACGCAGGTAAACGCACATTAGCGACAAACGCGCTTCAATGTCCGAGATCTCCGTGGGCCCACGCAAGAAAAGTAACTTCGCGATCTGAAGCGCGTTAGTTGTAAGTGCCTCGCCTGAAGCAACTAAACCACGATTGGCATCTGATTGGTACATTTCCGACTGCGATCCGATTGACATCAGACGAACACATTGAAATCCAACCGGGTTCGTTGTTCTAAGGGAGGGGATGAAGGGATTGTGAGAGTGGGGATACAGAGGAGGAGGGGGACAAGGATGAGGAAAAGAGGGAGGAAGGAAATTGAAGCCTTGAGGAGTCTGAGGCGGAGCGGTGTGGGAGGAGGCGGACGAGGATGCGGAAGGGGAGGAGGAGGACGACGAGGACGAGGAGGAGGAGGACGAGGAGGAGGGAGAACAGGAGGAGGAGGAGGAGGGGAAGGAGGACGAGGAGGAGAACAAGAAGGAGGAAGACGGGGAGGAGGAGGAGGAGGAGGAGGAGGAGGAGGAGGAGGTGGAGGAGGAGGAGGAGGAGGAGGGAGAGGAGGATAAAGCGAATGGGGAGTGGAGATGGGGCCACGGGGGATAAATCGAAACAGCGCGGGTGCGGATGACGGAACGCGGCATGGTGATGGCAAGCAACAGGAACAACAAATTCGAACCACGTGATGCAACACCCATAAGAATCATCCATAGGAATGACCATCATACGGAAGCAACGCCGTACCAAAATACAACAAATCCAACCCAAATGCAACAAACCCGAACGAAGTCTGACAATGCTTGGCCCGAATCGAACCCAACAAACCCGAACCAAACGCAACAAACCCGAACCAAACGAGACATACACGAACCAAACGCAACAACCCCGAACCAAACCGAACGCAACAAACCCGAACCAAGCCGAACGCAACAAACACGAAGTAAGCACAATAAACCCGAACCAAACGCAACAAGCCAAAACCAAGCCGAACACAATAAACCCAAACCAGCGCCACAAACTCGAGCAACACAATAATCACAGCCCACCTTCCTGTGGCACATGTGGCAGCGGTTTTCGTATTCCTT